CACAAAGGATTGACCATTTTTCTGTGAGGGTGCACTGAGGAGTGGGGTCCTGAGCTCTCAGGTCTGGGGCCAGAGATAGGGAGGCCTCCATGTTCATTCTTATCCCAAAAGATTGGGATCATTCACTGCATATTTTCAGACCACAATGCTTTGAAAATGAAAATCACAAGAGGAAATGTGAAAAGAACTCAAATACATGGAGGCTAGAGAGCATCCTACTAAAGAATGTATGGGTCAACCAGTCAATTCAAGATGAATTTTAAAAATTCATGGAAACACAAGAGAATGAAAACACAACCATTCAATATCTCTGGAATCCAGCAAAGGCGGTCCTAGGAGGAAAGTATATAGCACTACAAGTGTTTCTCAAGAACCAAGAAAGGCCTCAAATAGACAACCTAACCCTACACCTAAAGGAGCTGGAGAAAGAGTAGCATAGAAAGCCTAAACCCAGAAGGACAAGAGAAATAATAAAGATTAGAGCAGAAATCATTGAAGTAGAAAGCAAAAGAATAGTAGAACAATTCAACAAAACTAGGAGGCGCTTCTTTGAAAGAATTAATGAGATTGATACACCGCTGGTCAGATTTCTCAAAAAGAACACAGAAAGGACCCAAATAAATAAAATCATGAATCAAGAAGGAGAGATCACACCCAACACCAAGGAAATACAAACAAGTATAAGAACATAGGATGCCAGGATGCCTGGGTGGCTCAGTTGGTTAAGCGGCTGCCTTCAGCTCAGGTCATGATCCCAGCGTCCTGGGATCGGGTCCCACATCAGGCTCCTTGCTCAGCAGGGAGCCTGCTTCTCCCTGTGCCTCTGCTACCACTCTGCCTGCCTGTGCTCTCTCTTTCTCTCCCTGACAAATAAATTAAAAAATAATAATAATAAAATCTTAAAAAAAAAAAAAAAAAGAACATAGGATGCCAACTCTATGTCAACCAATCAGGCAGTCTTGAAAAAATGGATGCATTCCCAGAAACATAGAAACAACCAAAACAGACCTGGGAAAAAAGGGAAACCTGAAGAGACTCATAATCAGCACCAACCTTGAAGCAGTCATCAAAAATCCTCCAGGAAACAAGAGCCCAGCACAGGATGGCTTCCCAGGGGAATTCTACCAACCATTTCAAAAAAATTTAATACCTCTTCTTCTGAAACTTCTCCAAAAAATAGGACTGGAAGGAAAACTTCCAAACCCTTTCGATAAGGCCAGCATTACCTTGATCCCAAAATCAGACAAAGACCCCACCCAAAAGGAGAATTAGAGACCACTATCCCCAATGAATATGGATGCAAAAATTCTCACCAGCATACTAGCCAATAGGACCCAACAGCCCATTAAAAGGATAATTCACCACAATCAGATTGAATTTATGCCTGGGCTGCAAGGGTGTTTCGACAACAGCAAATCAATCCATGGAAACCACTGCCTTAATAGAAGAAAGAACAAGAACCGTAGGAGCCCCTCAATAGATACAGAAAAAGCATTCGACAAATTAATGCATCCCTTCTTGATCAAAACTCTTCACCGTGGAAGGATAAAGGGTATATACCTCCACATCATAAAGGCCAACTATGGGAAACCAACAGAGAATACCCCTCCCAATGGGGAAAAACTGAGAGCTTTTCCCTTCAGGTCAGGAACATGACAGGGATACCCATTCTCATCACTACTGTTCAACATAGTACTAGAATTCTTAGCCTCAGCCATCAGACAAGAAAAAGAAATAAAAGGCATCCGAATGAGCAATGAAGAAGTCAAACTCTCACCCTTTGCAGACAATAGGATACTTTCTCTGGAAAACCCAAAAGACTCCACCCCAAAATTGCTAAAACTCATCCAGGAATTCCATAAATGGCAGGATATAAAATCAATGCACAGAAATCACTTGCATTTGTCTGCAGCAACAATGCGACAGAAGAAACAGAAATTAAGGAGTCCACCCCATGTATAACCAAGCCCCAAACCATAAGATACTTGGGACTCCATCTAACCAAAAAGGCAAAGGATCTGTACTGAGAAAACCATACCATAGTTATGAACTAAATGGAGGAAGACAGAAAGAAATGGAAAAACTTTCCATGGTCATGGATTGGGAGAACAAATATTGTGAAAATGTGTATGCTACCCAGAACAATCCACAGATTCAACGCAATCTCTATCAAAATACAATCCACGTTTTTCATAGAACTGGAATGAATAATCACCAAATTTGTATGGAAGCAGAAAAGATCCCGAATAGCCAATGGGATGTTGAAAAAGAAAGCCATCGCTGATGGCAAAGCAACTGCAGACTTCAAGGTCTAGTACAAAACTGTAATATAAAGACAGTATGATCCTGGCACAAAAACAGGCACACAGATCAATGGAACAGAATAGAGAAACCAGAAATGGACCCTCAACTCTAGGGTCAACTAATGTTCCTCAAAGCAGGAAAGAATATCCAATTGGGGGGAAAAGTGTCTTCAATAAATGGTGTTGGGAACAAGGGAAATCCACATGCCGAATAATGAAACTGGACCATTTCCTTATACCATACACAAAAAATAGACTCCAAGTGGATGAAAGACGTCAATTTGAGACAGGAATTCATCCACATTCTTGAGAACAGAGACAGCAACTTCTTTGACCTCAACCACAGCAAATTCTTGCTAGACATGTCTCCAAAGGCAAGGAAAACAAAAGCAAAAAGAACCTATTGGGATTTCATCAAAGTAAACTTTTACACAGCAAAGGAAACAGTCAACAAAACTAGGACAAGAAAGAGAAGGAGAGAAGATATTTTCAAATGACATATCAGGTAAAGGGCTAGTATCCAAAATCTAGAAAGAACTTATCAAACTCAACACTCACAGAAAAAATAATCCAGTCAAGAAATAGGGCAGGGGCGGCTGGGTGGCTCAGTGGGTTAAGGCCTCTGCTTTCGGCTCGGGTCATGATCTCAGGGTCCTGGGATCGAGCCCTGCATCTGACTCTCTGCTCAGCAGGGAGCCTGCTTCCTCCCTCTCACTCTGCCTGCCTCTCTGCCTACTTGTGATCTCTGTCTGTCAAATAAGTAAATAAAATCTTAAAAAAAAAAAAAAGGGCAAAAACATGAACAGAAATCTCTCCAAAGAAGACATCCAAATGGCCAACAGACATTTAGAAAAGTTCTCAACATCCCTTGACATTAGGAAAATACAAATCAAGTCCATAATGAGATACCACCTTACACCAGTCAGAATGGCTAAAATGAACAAGTCAGGAAATGACAGGTGTTGGTAAGGATGTGGAAAAGGGGAACCCTTTCATACGGTTGGTGGGAATGCAAGCTGGAGAAGCCATCCTGGAAAACAGTGTGGAGGTTCTTCAAGAAGTTGAAAATAGAGCTACCCTACAACCCTGCAACTGCACAACTGGGTATTTAATCTAAACCACTAAAGGTGCCATGTTTGAGTGATAAAATCCACAAGTCAGGAAATGTTCTGTGCAGCATGGAGACGAAAGTTACCCTGCAGGATGGGTACAGGCTCCCCCGCTACTTGAAAGTAGAGTGTTCCTAGGAAACCTCTCACCGCAGAAGTGGTATAAATGGAAAAAGGAACTACCATTCATTTCTACAGAAAAATGAGTGAGCATGCTCAGATACCAACAGTTCCTTCTCTTTGGCTCTTTTTACGCCTCAGGACACAACATCCTCACGGATGCCCAAAATAAATGGAGAGAAAGCACAGCAGATGCTCAGAGACGCAATTCAAAGTGCCGGTGGCTGGATGCAGAGAGCGGTGCCCAGGAAGGAGCTGGTTGGGGTGCACGCCACCTCTGTAGCGGTTCCCCACAAAGCAGATGCTGAACACAATGTCCACTTTTTGACTTTTTTCATGAGAGAAATCCTCTTCAGGTTTCTTTCTGCTACTGGAGCTTGGTAATAACATAGATCTTTCAAAAAAGCCAAGTGTCTTACCATGATCTTTGAGAAAAGTGGGGGAGACGTGTATGTGAAAATTGCTGAGAGGGTAGAAGTTTAGAGTTCTCCCAGACACAAACATCAGCAGGTCCTCTGTGAAAGGCACCTTCCTCAGTAGGTGGAACACGGACTACCTCCTATCCCCAGAAACCTCCTCCTTTGCCTCGCTCAGGACAACCCACAAGAGCTCAGAGTTACCTCAGATCTTTTCTCCCATTCCCAATATCGAACCCATCGACAAATACTGTGAACTCCGTCTTCAATAGGTACCCGGAATAGCATAACCCCTCCTTCCAAGGCCACCACTCTGGTCCACACTGGAGCTCATCTTTTGCCTGACTTCCTGGAAAAGCTTCATCATTGACCTCCCTTCCCTATCCTCAATCTGTGTCATCAGTTCTCAACACTGTAGCCAGGATGGCCCAGTGAAACAGGGTCCCATGGGTTCACAGCCCTGCAATGGCTTTCTGTCACCCTGTCACCTCCCTGAGGTCATGTCTTAAGCTGTCTCCCGTGGCCATAGGCTTGCTGCTCCTGCTCCTGGATATATGTGGCATGCTCCTGCCCCAGGGCCTTTGCATATGCATTCCCTTCTGTTTAGAAAGCTCTTGGTGTGATATCACTTACCTTCTTTAGAACTTGACTTGAGCATCACCTTCCTAGTGAAGTTCCAACTGGTCACTATATGAATAGCAAGCACCACCATCACCCCCCCCTCAGCACCCCAGCCCTGTCTCTTGCTTTATATTTCCAGAGCAGTTATCACAGTCATCAGGCCATCTCACCAAGGGGGAAATGGAGCCCTACTCAGATGGTTTCACCCCAGACTCCCTCTCATTTCCTAGTCCAGAGCTCTGGGGGGAAAGGCGACCAGAGCTCTTGCACAGCCACGATGCCTGGGACAATGGGTCCCCTTACAGCACCATGAAGACCATCAGGAAAATGAGCCATGAGAGGAATCCACTTGCACACAAAACCTGGAACCAGACACCTTCCTCGATTCCAGGGGAGCACATACACTTCCTCCCTTCACCCGATGTGCTCACCTGAGAAAGCTGAGCAGAGAAGCATCCCAGGGTCCACATCTCCCGCTGGTCAAGGTCCTGGGAAACAGAGAGCTCTCCTCCCTGCACCAGCCACCTGTGATTGAGGTCTGGCATCCCCCTGTGCTGGGGCAGAATGGTGCACCTGTCCTCTTTCCTGGGACGTCATCACACACGAAGCTTTGCTGCGCAGTTTTCAGGATGGGATCTGTGGCAGCAGCCAACACCCAGGATCGGTCTCAGTCTCACACATCAGGCCTCGTGTGGAACTACAGCTTCAAGGACACTGGTGAGTCATGTGGCCTTGGAACCTAATGGCAGGAGCTGAGATTTCAGTTCCAAATGAAAACTGGCCTCTTCCACACAGCACAGGAAAGTGGAGGATTTCTCAGGGGTGCGGCTCTGGAAGAAGTGCTCCTGCCGGCGGAATTCACAGGCACCAGGCAGAGAACACCTGCGGTGCCTCGTCTGAGGAAGCAAGGGGCACACTGGGCAAGAATCCAGAACGTTGCTGGTGGGCACCCACCAAGCCCCCTGCTGAGACGAGGGCCTGAGAACCCAACAGGAAGCAAGTTTCCTATCACATCTGCAGCAGGAGGGCTGGCTGGGGAGCAGAGCCCCATCCCTGGAGCAAGCTGGCCTGTGCATCCAGACCGAAGGCCACCACCATGGCTCACAGTCTCCCAGCTGTGATCTGACTCCCCTGCCAGGCCCACACCTGCTGACACTGTGACTCCCAACACCCGGAGACTGCTTTCCTCCCCAGCTCAGTGCTGCTCACAGAGAAGCCAACTCCAGCCTCAGAAGCGTGCTCAGTGTTCAAAAGGCAGGAACGGGTCCGTTTAGGCAGACCAGCCGAGCGCCTCTGTGTGCGGGATACTCGGACCACATCTTCCCTCAACACCCACGCTTCCAAGTCCAAACTTCAAACCCTCACTCACTGGGCACGGAACACCACATCAGCATGAACACAGCTCTTTCAAATCTCTAGTCTCCCATTCCTCCAAATCAGAAGCCAAGCTCCAGGCCCCACTCCATTTTCCCTTCAGAGAAGTAAGGGAGAAGAGAGAACAAAGCGCTCCGTGTGCACAGCTCACTTCTATCCAAATAGAACTCCGTGTTCTTTCTCATACGGGCAGCCTGACATCGCCCATACTAATGAGAGGGGCCACAAGTTCAGTCCTCATATATATATCTGACCTTGTGTTTTTCCTTTTGGTATTTGGATCTTGAAGTCAATGTCTACATTGCTTAAAATAATAATGATGATGATGACGTGGTCACGTAAAGGTTGGGGTCTCCACAACCAGACAACACAGCTCTGGTTCAGATAAGGATGAAGACACAATCTCTTCGCAGGAAGCAAAGCCCAGACCCTCAGGGATCCTGACATGCCTCACAGGCAATGGGTTCCTTTGCTCCGTGGAGTTGTCCGAGTGCAAAGGATGCTGGCGCCCTCCAGGGTTCATTCTGTTTTCTTCATCAATTCCCCAGGTCAAGTCACAAGGGACTCACCAGTCAGGTTTCAGAGCCCAGAATGGGCCACCAGATGAACAGCCACCGCCCCCTTCCCAGGGAGGGTAGATTTTCTCTAGGAGCACAACTAGCCACTTCCCGAGCTACTCAACAACCTACACTCAGTCTCCATTTGCCCTCCTCACCCTGTTAGAGCCCCAGGCCTGTGCTTTTCTTTAAAAAAGATTTTCTAATATTGGAATGTGGTTCACCGAAGAGAAAAACATGAACACCCACAAAGGATTCTTTTAATATTTCAGAAGATTTGTTTCCCATTGTTTAATTAAAACAGGAAATAAAAATGCACAGCTCGCACCTTCCACTGCCCCGTACGATTCACAGCGGTGACTTAGAGGAGAGCAGGAAACACAAGAGGAACAGAGGTTCTGATGACCCGTCATTTCATCATTGAGGTTTTGAAACTCCACACACACTCAAAGAAAGAAGCCTGAGCCAGCGTCCTGGCCTGGTGACGTAGAGCAGTCTGAACTGGAGTGACAGGGACAGGCGGAGAGCTCACGGGACAGGGACAGAGTGTTGCTGAGGCTGGTGGCACAGAAGAAGGTGCTCTGCCAGCTCTCCACCCAGGCCTCACCTGTCCTCAGCCAGGAAGCTGCTCATAGCCCTGACCTGTCACAGCTGTCACACGGGAGACACATGGCCACCCCTGGAGCCGGCCCTGCCCACACCCTCCTGTCGAACGCACTCCGCTCTCCTTCAGGACCCCTGACAGCTCCACCCAGACCTGGAACTGCCCGGTCTGCTGCAGAACTCCAGGATTCCCCACTCTTGTCAGAGTGACACTGGACCAAGGCTTTCATAAATGTGTCGTATTTCTCTCCACTCACCTTCCTACCTGGGCAAACTGTCAGTCACGTATGGATGGAACACGAACCTGCTCTGAGATCTGGGTCTTTCGCTGCAGCCCTCTGAGCACTCCTCCTGCAGTAAATACATCGCCTACAACGGGGGTCACGAAACTAATATTTACAGAATAATACAGCCCAAATCACCTCGTTGTGAGTTGCTCTTCATTAGGCCGAAAGTCTCTGTGTAAACAGCCTTTCCACAGATATTACCTTCCAGTAGTTTCATGAGGAGAAACAAACTCTGTGGGATAAGCTGACTCACCCAGCATCAGGCAAGCAGTTCCAGAACTCACCCCGGGGTGAAGTCCGCCAAGCCCCTTGCCACCACCAGCGTGCCTCTATCCAGGAGAATTCCCAGATGGTCTCCTTCTGACTCCACCACCAGAGGAACTACAGAGAAGTGCAGCACATCAAAATATCTAGATGACACACTGAGTCAAACTAGAAAGTCAAGCTTTCCTTTTAAATGGTAAAAGCCTACTTTGAATCATTTTGAATTTTCCCTCTTCCATAACTGGAGCTCTTCAGATGAAAACACGAATCAGTTATGAAACATCACCTTTGACAAATGACAAGACATCATCCATGTCTCTATCTGGTGGCGTTCGACCATCCCCCCGGCCCAAGTGAATAAACACTATTAGATGAAGGATCCAGTTCTACGCTAAAAACACACTAAGAGCAAATCCCATCTTCCTTCTCCGATACAAGTGACTTCCTAGGAAGCAGGTGTGCAGATGAGATTTTGTACGCAGTAAATGAACAAGAAGATGGCATTTCCTGAGCTGTCCTACCTGTAGGGACACTAAGGAACTCTCGCACCGAACCCAGAATGTGGACAGGGGCTTCGGTTTGACTTCATGGCTCAACTAGAGAAAAGAGAAAAGCCCAGGAGGTTTTCGGTTAAAAAGAAGTTTTACCTCCAGTCCTGACATGTGACATTGCGCCCAATGTACCTGCTGCTTTCCGGAACGCTGACGTCCTGTGACGAGCTGCCTGCCTGACTCAGAAGCTGTTGTTCTAACCTTCAGGTCTCGTGGAACCAGAGTGGAGAAGTGTTGTCAGGTGGGGATGAGAAGGCGCCTCTGACCTAAGGCCGCCACACCTGCTTCTGTTCCTTCAAGAGGGGGAGACACATACGTGTTTGTTTTTCTCTTTCTTTCTTTCGTTCTTTTTTTTTTCTCTTTTTTGGAAACACATACTTGTTTCTTAAGTAGTAATTATTAACATTCTAAAGTAGACCAATGACTTTGTCTTTTTTGGAAAAGTGAAATTATCCTTCCAAAGGAACATCTCAACTCACCTGTTCCTCATGCAACTTGAGTGGGGTCTGGTTTCCCCCAGCTTCCAGGCCCCCACCTGGAGGACGCTCCTGCAGGATCCTGACAGCCCATTACCACCATCCCCTGGGACACAGGGCACAATGCTAAAATTGGGGGATGGCTCTGGAGCTCTTACTACCACACATGTGCCGGGGGGAGACAGGAACCTGGAGGACCCTCCAGTGGGATCCTGACAGCCCATTACCACCATCCCTGGGGAACACAGGGGACAATGCTGAAGGTGGGGGATGGCTCTGGGGCTTGTTAGCGCCACACCTGTGCCTGGGGGAGGGGGGGGCAGCAGGAACCTGAAGGACCCTGGTGAACAACCCTGACAGCCCATTACCACCAACCCCGCAGACAGGGCACAAAATGTTGAAGCTGGGGAATGTTCTGGGGCTTGTTAGCGCCACACCTGTGGGGGGTGGGGAATAGAGAACACCCTGCTGAACTCGGGGTGCTGCTCAAGGTCCATTACCTGCACTGTGCCAGGGGACAGAAGGCACCTCGCTGAAGCTGGTGACCGTGGGCTGTCTTTACACGTGCTCTTCCTGGGGAACACAGGAAACCCTGAAATGTCCACAACCCATCCCACAAAAGCTTGGGTGAGCCTGGCGCCCTGGAGCTCAGGGGACTGGGGGAGAGGGCCAGTTAATGGACATCAGGCAGAAGAGACTTTCAAGAGAAAAAGAAAACCCATCTGAGTCCCCACAGTGAACTCGATTCGTGCGCCCTTCAAGGACCCTACCCCAGGGACCCCCGGGGCCCGCGCACAGCACGCACTCACAGCAGCAGGATACCTGCCCAGGAGCTCCCAGGTGCCTGCCCCGCCTCCGCATCCTAAGGCGGCTCTGGGTCCACCCACAGAGGACATAGCTCCACCCCCACGTGCTGGTCGGTGGGGGAGGGTGGTGCCCTGAGCCCTCTGGATGCCGCGCCTGCCTGGACCCAGAGACCCGCCCTTACACGCGCACCTCCCTGCTTTTGCAGGTACTCCGGGAGGTGGCGCCTCCTCCCTGGAACACCTAGCTCCGTGGGGCAGCCCTGGGCGGGTCGTGGGCAGGGCCCTCCCTCCCCCAGACATCTGGCCCCTTTCGGAGACCCCTATGGCTGAAGACCACCCTCAGAACCCTGCCCCTTCCGTTCCTGCCCCAGCCCTGCCTGCTGAGCTGTTCCTGGCTCCTGGCAAGTTCTGAGGCTCTCAGACCTTCCCAGTCTTGGGCTTTAAGAAATGCAATGGTTGTGGCGCCTGGGTGGCTCAGTCATTAAGCCTAGGCCTTCAGTTCAGGTCAAGTTCCCAGGGTGCTCTGATGGAGCCCTGCATCTGGCTCCTGGCTCAGAGGGAGGCCTGCTTCTCCCTCCCCCACTCCCTCTGCTTGTGTTCCCTCTCTCATTGTGTCTCTGTCAAATAATAAATAAATTCTTAGGGGAAAAAAAAAAGGAAACTCAATGGTTTCCCACATTTCCAAGGCAATTTTAAGACCCCAAAAATAATGCTCTAAACGGGAGGAGCTTCACCTCCTGGTCTCACCCATGGAGTGGAGAGTGCTTCGCAGACCTTCTGAGCATCCTTCTAGGATGAGCCCATTTGTGCTGGAAAATACACACATATGCTTGGCTCTCCAGGGAAGCTCCAGGATGAACGAGAACAGTCGCCCTTCTGGGCTGTTGGAGGCGTGAACCAGGAACACTGATTTTTCACTTAAAAAGAAAACATATTGTTATTGTCTACACTAAAGGAACAAAGCACTTCAAACATTTTAGAGAGAAAAGAAGTGTTTTATTCAAACCCAAGTCAGGACAGCTTTCCTGGGAGACACAATCTTCACAAGGAAGGGAGTGCTCCAGGGGAGGAACATTCAGGGCAGGTTTCTGTAATCAGTCTGTTTTGTTTTACATACAGAGTAACACATCATCATGAGGAAGAACATTCCAGAAAGTTACAGAATTTTTCTTATGTTTTCAGTATGTGCAAGTCAGTATGACTTTAATCTTATGGGAGCAGGAGAGGTTCTTTTGTTTTTCTTATCTTTATGTTTGAAATAGCACTTGGGGGGGGTCTCTTTTTCTTCTCAATGGAGATGTACAACATGTGCTTGGGGCAGAAATAGGGCCCATGCTCTGAGGTTTTGCCCAGTCATTTGAGCTTGGTAAAATGTTAAAGGTAGCTTCCCTGGGAGCC